ATTGCTTCTGACATTGTGTCTATGGCCCTGTTTTTTATCTAAAAGCAAGTAAACGCATTTTCCATCATCTTTTTCCCTTTTGCAAGTGTTTACTTTGCTTACGCCAGTCCTTCTCTTTTCATAATTCTTTATCTGTGGCATGTGAGTGTGAACAAGGTGAGGAGTTGCCTTCTTCAAAATCTCCCATCTGTTTTAACATTTTGTTGTTCTTCACAGAGTGAGTACCAACGGGGAGTTAGCGCCTGGAACTTTGATTTGGAGGATTTAAAGCTTCAGGCTTCACTGGTATGTATATGAGAGGCGTCTCTTTATGTCTGATAAAGATGCTCTTTCACTTTTGCTCCATGAATTTTGCCAACCTAAATTTAATAGTCTCTCGATTTCTGAGGCAGGTACAGGACGATGATGAAATACAAGAAATTAAGGAAGACGATGATACCATGAAAGCTTATATGAACTACAAGGTCTTTGCCAGTCTTTTCTGTGGTGCTTTTGTCTATTTTCAAGTTATTCACATCAGCCTTGAACTGTTCTCCTATTTGCAGGAGAAATCTGTTGCCCTACAATATGCTGGAAAATCAACCCCTAGAAAAGATTCTATTGCCAGGTATATTCCTTTTTCATTTTGACCAGCCACATAGAATTTGTCGTAGAAAGATATCAAAATTGTAGCTGTTAGTAACTTAGTTTGCAAGAGGGAATTGATGCCTTGTTTGAATTTTGAACTTTTGTGAGCTTGAATTCCTTGAACTTTTAGGTGTTAGAACTAGTTAAACCATTTTGGGCCAACTATTATACTCCCACCATTTCATTTTTAAAAGTCGTACTTTTTGGATGCGGAGTTTAAGATGTTAATTTGACATATATATTATATTGATGGAATAAATATTAAAGTAGTGATTGAAAATTAGCATGATACTGAAAATATCATGTTGAAGTTCAAAATTTGGATACTTAAACGAATCTTTATCATAGGAAGTTGTGAAAGACTTATTGTATTATGGGATGGTGTCAAACATTTTGAATATCCCACAATAGTAAGCATGTCATACAAATAGAGGTGCAGGATGTATGTGCTTTCATGCTAAATATTGTTCTTAGAGTCCATATTGATGTATTTAAGTTAGTTCGTTCGTATTTACGTTAAAGGGTAGAAGGGTAGAGGGGTGATCCATTATCCACTATGCATCAGTAACCTCAGGTGTTTTTCTGTTTTAAAAAGTAGTTGTTTTATCCATGATATCCTCTCTTCTGGAGCGTATATATTTTCCTGTGGAAACCAGGTATTCTCAATGTAATTTTTTATCTTCTTCAGAAGATATAAAACATCAGCATATTTTGTGAGAACTGCTCTCTCCAGGGGAGAATGTTAATAATGGTTTTGTCATCACCACCAAAATATGATAGTTTAGGTAATGGTTATGCATGGGCTAGATTCTGTGAGCTATAAGTTAAAAATTTATTTTTGGTCAAGGTATGCCTTGGATTATTATCATCTCAATTTTAGTTTTCGTTGATACATCTTGTTCCCAGTGAGCAAGAAAGTGTTGGTGAAGTGCCAGTAGCTGAATATGAGATCAAGAAGGGAAAAGATTTGGAGAGTAGTACACCAGATTCTGATCATTGGGAGAAAAATGGACTGAAGAGGAATGCATCAAAAACAGAGTTGCCACCCCTAACCTCAGAAAGGGATGCCTTACTGGCCAGGAGTAGAACTCAAACAACAAAAGCTCGTCAAAGTCAGAGTGGACCACTTATGGCTGGCACTGTACTTAGTCACTCGGCATCAGAAAGAGTTCGAAGCTCCGAAAGGTTCTGTACGACTCATTGTTTTCTTATTGTACTGTATCTTACATTGCGCCAAAGACAAATTATCAAAGAAAAGCATTGCACCAAAACTTTAACTATGAAGCTTTATTAATATTCAGGAATCAAATAGCCTTTCTTTTCATATCGATTTCAACCGTAATAGGGTGAAAGGAAATTGATCAGAACTGAATGCTCAAACTTGGTCTCTCTACCAATATGGCAGGTCCCCGATTTAAAAAAAATAATGTTTCTTCATTGAAACAAAACAGATTTCCATTGGAGAAATAATTCTCACAGGCATTTTCTCTAAAATTAGTGTGTTGGATTCATTTTATAGAGGCTAAAATCAGTGTGTAAATCATCCAACAGCTTTCTAATGTAGACTGTAGTTCATTGTGCTTTATTTGATCATTTGCATATCGAAATATGACTGTTTATTTGGACAACTGTTATCAAATGAGAACTTTCAGTGAGCTAACTTATGCTGCTCTTGCAGAAGTGAGATTGAAAACCAACAACCAGGAGATAAAGCTCATCCAGTGCGAAGAGCACCCAGCTTTAGTGGGCCTTTAATGCTGCCAAACCGAGCTTCAGGAAATAGTTTATCAGCTCCGATTAAATCATCTGGGGGTATTAATGCTTTCAAGACAAGTTCATTTTTTGCTATTGTGTGCAAGACTGACAATGGTTTATAGAAAAAATCTCGGTGGCATGCTATTTAAGGCAGACTTCTCTTTGCAGTAATGATAATTTTTATATGTTCAGGATTCAAAGATTCTTTGGATGACAAATCGAAGCCGAACTTGGTCCAAATAAAAGGCCGTTTCTCTGTAACATCAGAAAATGTAGATCTTGTAAAGGTAAATCATATTTTGTCATTCTCTTTCTTTTAGATGACTATTTGCTAACTTAAATATGTATGTTAGGATATTCCATTATGTACAGTTCCTCGACGATCTTCTCAAGTAAGTGGTGTGGTGTTGCCTTCTCAAAACAACTCAAGTATTTCATTCCTGCTGCATCTTTGACACAAGATTTCTGTGATTCACAGGGATCACCACTTAGGAAGTCTGCTAGTGTTGGAGAATGGCTGATCGAATCTAAACAAATGGTGTGTGTATCGTCCCTTACTTTACAGCTGTAGTTAAATGATATGAATATGTTAAAACTTGAGCTCCACCCTAATGGTGCTATTTTGTCTTAACCAAGAGAAAAAGCAAAGAACTTGTTGTAATACTGCATTTTTCATAAATTTTCAGCCACCCAGTCAACCGCCCAAGGAACTTGGCCTTAATAATGTTCCTGCTTCAGTTCTCATGCCTCACTTACAAAATCTCTTTCAACAGACGTCAATTCAACAGGTAAGGCATCAGTGTATGGTAGGGATGCAAGATCCGTGTCCCCCACCCACCCAAATACACACACAGGAAAAAATACAGAACAAAAACAAGAAAAGAAATGTTAAATTCAGGATTAACTAGTCCATTTCTATTTCTATGGTTGTTCTAATGCTTAATTTCTACTGCATTTGTTATCAGGATCTCATTGTAAATCTATTGAGTAGCTTGCAACTATCTGAGGCAGGAGATTGTAAGTATGAGGAAGAAATGTCTGATGTCCTTATGTAAAGAAATATGTTTTACCAATAGTAGCATGGATTCAGATTTATTTAGATTGAAATTTCTTGTTCTGTCTCAGCTTCTCAAAATGGGAAGTTATCTCCCCTACAGCGCCCAGAGAACAATGGAATTGTAAGTACATGTCTTTGCTTTGAAAATATGCTTAGCTTTAAGACTTTAGAAACTGCAAATGTTTACATGGAGCTATATAAACATTTGTCTCTTATTGGGAACTTGTCATTTATCACATGGCAACCATTCATTTTGATTAAGACTCTTCCGTTTTGCAGGTTGAAGCAGCTGTTTCTGAGAGGGAGAAGCTATTATTAGTCAAAATATCTGAGCTTCAGGCTAGGTCAGTCCACTGTGGACGCAAATCAACTGTGGTGAATTTTTCTCACAGTTCTATGTGGAATTCTTAATTAAAGAACTGATCTTCTCTCTACTTTGCAGGATGATTAATTTGACGGATGAGTTAACTGCAGAAAAATTAAAATACTGGCAGGTGAGTGCATACTCGTTTCTTTTAATTGAATTGAAGAAAATGAAAAGATAATAATAGAAGACCAACTGTGTGGAAATATCTCTCTACTTTGATGAGGTTTAAAAAACTAGGCCTGAAGTTAAAACAATTGAGGGGATGAACTGGAGAGGTTTATTAATAGCATCCAAGTGTCTTGCTAACAATGGTTTTTCACCTGCTACAGTTGCAACAGCGGATGTCAAGTTGCGGAGAGGATGGGGACAGAAGAGAATTGGAATCCTGATGACAAATGATACATTTCATATGTAAACACCGTGTATATTCAGGTGTCTATTTGAGCAGATAATTTTGAATTGTTTCACTCACATGTGAAGAGACTTAATTGTGGTTTGGTTTTGCAGGTTGAAGTATAGGAAGAGGCAGAGTGTAATTATTCTTATGTCACTGAATCATGCACTTGTCCTTGTTGAATAGCTCGTGTGGGAAGAATCCATCTCCAAGTAGCAATAAACAAAATAATCAGCGCATAGATAATTTCTTCATGTGTTTGACAAGTACGAGCTGAAAACAAGCTTCTTGTGCAGATTCACGTCAAGGGATTATTATTTTTATTTAGATATAGAAGATTGTGGAGGAAGGCTCTCAGCGGGAAGAGGAAGGCAGAGACTAGAGAGTGGGTGTGGGTGTGGGTGTGGGGGATTCAATTCCCAATTTCATTTGTAGATCCTTAGTTTATGGCGTAGTCATATTTAAGTTGTAATTTTGTATCATAATATATGATAATAACCAATGTGACCATGAGATGTGTTCAATAAAACTTTTAGCTTCACAAGCATCCCTCAACCTAGTCGATGCCTAACATATTTGTGGCCGTTGCCAAATTGCCATTGCATAAATGGAGAGATGGATCCAATTTAAATTTGGATATCATATCTTTTGTTAGATAGAATTTTTTTTTGACAAAATAAACGTTGTGGGATATACCTTTTCAGGATTACACTACTACTGGGTATGTTGATATTGGTTTGTAAAATAACGTTTATATACGTTATGTATCATATATATATATATATATATATATATATATATGGCTCAGGTCATAGACATTCAAGATAACCTTGTGACCGTCCTGCCACAATCAAAGATTATAATCATAAATACATGAGCCTCCAAGAAAAGTAAGGTAGATCCAATGGGATATTGATAAAGATGGACATAACCAGCATAAGAGAGAAGGTTACAATACCTCAGCCATCTCCAATAAAAAAGCTTTCTTGGAAACAAATGCACTACACAACCAAGTGGAGCTGGAAAGATGACCTAAAACATTAACACCAAGTTAAACATTAGACACAATACAACGACTACAACAACAACATACCCAGTAAAATCCCACAAGTGGGGTCTGGGAAGTTAGACACCATGGAGATGTAAAAAGGGAAAGAGCAACTAATTGGGGTTTTAACTTGAAAAGCAAGAAAAATCAAGGTAGATAAACAGACATGTGAAACCAACAAATTAAACACACACATCAGTACCGCATTACTATCCTTATCAACCAAACAGTAACTTAACTTGCCAACCAAGAAATCATTGAAACATCACAGCAATGCTAAATACTGAGATGCATATTTCTTCCCCAATCATTAGAAACACAAAAGTCAACCTCAATAGTTTACCTTCTTCAACAATCCTAACCTAAATTAACAAATCAGTGTTGCAATAAACAATTGTGACAGAGCAGCTGCTTACAATTGGAAAAAGAGTGCCCTAATCTGGTACCAATCAGACAATTCCTTCAAGTTTCGTTAAGCGGACATTATTTTACAGATAAAAATCAAGCACATCCATCTAAATATATGACAACATAGATCAAACCAAGAGAATTTGATTAATTACCTGAGAATTAGGCAAATCGAAAGAATCGTGCAGAGATAAAAGGAAAATTATGTTATTTGTTTGGCGTGGATAAAGAGAATACAAATTCCAGAAAATTTGGGAATTCTTATATTACTTAGTCAAAGGCCTGAGATTTTCTACGATTAACCGAACACACGATATTCCATACCCTTCTAGAAACTACTAACCAATAGGGTTTTGACACGTTCCTCTCTGTCGGACTCTATGGCCAACCATTCAACCGTCCTATTCATTAGTAACAAAGAGTTGGTATTAACCATTATTTACCTTTATTAGTATGCATTAATGCATAGCTTTTATTAAATTATATATATATATATATATATATATAAAGGAGAACCTTAGGTCCGCTTATGTGGTACCACCACAAATCAGAATTACCTTTTAATTTATTTATTTTTGAAACTAGCTTTCCCCTTTCATGAAAAGTTGTGACATTTATGAAAAGTTGTGACTTTTATGAAAAGTTGCGACTTTAATGAAGAGTTGTGACTTTTACGAAAAGTTGTGATTTTTATGAAAAATTGTGACCTTTCCAAAGGGTTGCAACTTTTTCAAATAGTTGTAATCTTTCCGATAAAGCACAATAAACATTTGTTAACATTACCCTTTGTTGTTTATAAATAGAGGAATTTTCTTTCATTTTAAAACAACGAAAATTCTGAACCTCTTCTTCTTCTTCACAGTTAAATATTTGTGTACTTTGGTCCTGTTGAGTGACTCACTGACACCATTGCTTATGTTACAAATCATTGTATGTATTTTTACAGTCATTAATTTATGCTTATGTTATTAAAGGATATATAATAAGATGTAACAATTTTAATTTTCCTTTACATTATTATTTTTTGTTACTACGTAATTTTGTATGTAAGATAATATAGTATTTTAGTTTTAATGACGGATAAGTTTTAAATATTATTTTATGTATATAATAAATAATGAAAATGAACAAGTTCGTAATGTTTGTTTGGCAGTGGACCCGCTTTCGAAAACGAAAAGCGCCAAACAGGACCCATAAGATATTCCTTTATTTTAAGGGGCACTGTTTTCAAAAACGTACAGTATTCACGAATCCTTTTCTGACCAATACTAATTCTATAATCCATAACCTAAATCAATCACCAAACACTTCGCCGGGACAGATTAGATGCTGCCGTCGCCGTTCTCTATCTCCGGCGATGAAATCTCTCACTTCCACTTCAGCTCTACTTCTTTCTACTTCGCCGCCGTCTTTACGATCTTCTCTCTTACCAACTCTCCGACCTCTTCTTTATCGAGCTCGCCTCCGCAACAAGCTTAATCTGGTAATTAACTTAATTACTACTTGTTCTAATCTCATTTTAACTTAAATACCTACCTGTATTGGAATGAGAATGAGCTCAGTAGAGCTGAAATATGTTACTCCTGTTATTGATTTTGTAGAGAAGGTTGAGAAATGGAACTTGCCGGGCAGAGTTTGCAAACGATGTGCCTTACGCCGCTGCTATTGGTGCTTGCATTTTGAGCTCGTGGGTTTTCCCGACTACTTACACGGAGGAGGACGATGGTGAATCCACAATTGATTCTGCTGATGCGAGGTTTGCTGTCATGGGAATTATCAGCTTCATTCCGTATTTTAATTGGATGGTGAGATTTTTCTCATTGCATATTAATAATCATTTGTTCTACATTAGAATTTAGGCGTTTAGAACCATTTAGGGGATTCATATAGCTAAGCCCAACTAACTTGGGATTAAGGTGTGATTGATTGATTGATTTTCTGGTTTACTTTGTAGAGTTGGGTTTTCGCTTGGTTGGATACTGGGAAACCGCGTTATGCTGTTTATGCTCTTGTGTATTTGGCTCCATATTTAAGGTACGGAGCTCTTAAAACATTAGTTTTCTAGGTGATGTTTTAATATCATCTCTTGTCAGCACCCTGAATGTGCTTTAAGGAATGTATTGAAGTTTGAACAAGCAGAAAGAAAGAAAACACATAGAGTTCTATTCTGTCATCTATATTACAAGGATCCTTCACGAGTCATGGTAAATGAAGGATTGTAATCTCTATTTCCATGAATGACTGCTTAACCTTCTTGATTTCCATTTTAAGCTTCCAACTTTGATATGATTGTAAGATTTAAAGTTTATTGTTGGAAGACAATTACCCTAACTATTGAACTATAAACACTTGTAACATTTTAAAGTTCACTTACTAGTCTGGGTTGGCCCTAGGATTTTCACCAAGGAACTTGAAAAAATGCAATGAAATGGTGCTAGTGAAGCTTGCATGTGGGAACCCGTACAAATTTTGAATCTTTTTAACCACTCTCCGAAGACATCCTTTGTTCTTTTTGTCCTTTCTTGATAACATCAGATTCTCTAGAAAGCTGGCATTCCCTGCTGCTATAAATTTAGGCAAAGGCATGATCAGCGTTTTCTGATGTTTAGTTGAGTCATTTTGCCTTGACCAAGCATTTCATTCTGATGCTCTTTTATCGTATGCAGCACCAATCTGTCTTTATCTCCTGAGGATAGCTTTCTACCCGTTGCTAGCATCCTCTTGTGCATCTTCCACATTCAGGTAATATATTTAAAGTCTATCTCAAACTCTATAAATTAATTATGCTGAGGTTCTCTGATACGATCCTGGATAGCCCGGCTCACACAGGGTTTATTGCGAGCAGACTAGAGCATCTCAACCGTAATTTTTGTTTCCTTTCAATAGTGGGAGTTCTTGAATTCTATTTTTAGTAAATTTTTCCTGTTTCCTTTTCTTTTTAGATTCTACTTACTATAGTGTTTAGTAGTTTTGGGATTTGCTTTTCCTTGTTTTTACTTATTTCCTTTGTTGATTCGGATAGGGACATAATAATTATAAATACTTGCTAGACTCATAGTTTAGGAGGAGATTGACAATTGTGAATACAAACAAAATTGTGAAGTTGGAAACCTTGTAGTTAGGATTGAACTTGAAAATTACTTTCAAGCTTGAAGTCTTCATGGTAATTCTTTTCTTCCTTTGATCTTTATATCTTTGGTTATGTCTTGTCGTTCTATTAGGGGTGATTGATTTCAAATATCAATTTGTATTCTTAACGTTTGGTTAGGGTCAGAGATTCTTTTTGTTCTTCAATTCCTTCGGTAATTTCTTTAATTCCATTTCATTATTTAGTTTATTACTACGCTTTGTGTAACCTGAATCGTATCATCCTCATAGAAAGTTTCATCTTGTTCCAGCTGGAAGCATTCCAAAAAGATGGAAACTTTCAGGTGTTGGATAAATTTACTGGTACTGGAACTTCAATTGCTGGGAAGAAAGATGTAAGAATGTCAGAAAAGGTATAGACCGCGTGAAGCACTTATTAACACATGTAAATGATTTAGAAGTTTATCATTCCTATCTAATCGTTCAAAATGTCATGAAGGAGGAAACATATGATCTTAAGAAGTTGCCTTCAGCAGATGAGAAAAGGAGGTGGGAAATTTCTAGAAGACCTGAAAATCCCGAGCACTTGAATGAAGATGGAGAAGATCCTAGTTCAAAGAAGCATTAAATTTGCATGTTCAAGGCTGAGTTTTGACGGGTCTAATGCCAATCCTTGGAAGGAGGACATCATATGCTGGAGTGTAACTGCGTAGGTAGTTCACTGACCAAACAATAAGCATCTTCTGTACACAACAGATTGATCTTAATGTGCTATGATTCAACTCTGCAGCAAATATCTGAATGGTCTCTTATCAAGATTGAACCAGGGCCTACCATCTTTTCACAGTTGTATGTTGTTTCTCTTCCCGAGTTCTATATATCAAGGGAAGTTTGTATTTTTACGTTGAACAGAGGTTCATGCTGTATTGGCAGGTCTGAGCTCATAAATTGTGTACCCTCGTGAAGAATTTTGATCAGTGTTTTTGATCTGCAATCTTAAATTCCAGTGGATGCAGAACAATATTTATCCCAATTTCATAGCTTATAAATAAGCTTCAAGTGTGAGATACGTGATGGTGTTACTGAAAGAATGTTACTTATGCTAGGTTAAAAGAATAACTAGAAATATGGGCTAAGAGTTGTGGTAGGATCCCTCTAGAGATCTTGATTTCAAGAATTAGATATGGAAAAAAATCTTATTAGGCTATGCTTCCTCTTGAACGGGCTGGTACTAAATCATGAAAGAGCTAATATTTTGTTTTTGATCAAAACATTCCTATTCAATCTTTCATCATTTACTTCTTCCTCTTTTGAAGCCAACTAAAATAGTATAATGTCCCCTTTTCTTTACTATAAGAAACTTGTTCACTCTTGGTATTATACCAAAGTAACGAATGCAATATAAGACATGTACGTTTCATATAATATATTTTTACTTATAATTTAACCACAATGAAGTGAAATTATTTTTCATTTTTCATTTAATTTTAATAATTTAATACTCCATCCTGTGTATAAATTTAGCTCGCTTTCCTTTTCTAAACGCAGCGGCCTACCTGGCAATTGGCCTCAACAAAGATTTGTTAGTTATATTCGTTGACCTTTAACCAAAAAAAGAAGTTAAATCTTACCTATTCTCATCATAAAAGAAAGACGAAGAAACCCTAAAAAGCTTCAATGGCGGGAAGCAGTAGTGGGAAGCTGATACAAGACCTTATACTGTACGCTGCAAGCGCAGCATTAAGCATGGCTGTGTTATTTGTTGGGCTTCGCCATCTCGACCCGAATCGCGAAGCTTCTAAGAAAGCTATTGAATCCCGCAAACACCTCTCCAAACGCTTAGGTCGCACTCTTATTTACACCACTCCCTATGAGGTATACGCATCTAATTTTCACCTCTATTCACAATTTATTTTTGACAAAAGGAAATTTAGTCTCTAGTGTCATTTGATGATAATGTAAAATAGAAATGAGTAGATTAAGGCTTAGTAGTGATACTGTGTTTTTTTTTATAACTCAGAAAACACCTCGGGGAAGTGGTAAAAAGTTCTAAACTTGATGGATAATGGACCCGTTCTACCCTTCTCCACTTAAATAACAGTGGGGTTCGAACCTATAACATTCACCTAACCCACGCATCACAAGTAAGATCTTACCACTAGAGTTGTGATACTTCACATTTATTAGGAAAAT